TAGCGGGGGGCTGCTTGGGGGGGGGAGGTGGGGGGGGGGGGTGTTGTTTGTCAAACCTGCAGTAGAACACATTCGGGCCGTCTGCTAGTTGACGGCCCTCCACAGCGGGGAGGATGGTTTCCTATAGCCGGTGATGCTTTTCAGGCTCCCCCACACAGACGAGGGGTCGTTGGCTGAAACCTGAGCTTTCAGCTTTTCAGAGTAGCTCCTCTTTGCTGCTCTGATCTCCCTTGTCAGTGTGTTCCTGGCCTGGCTGTACAGAGTTCTGTCCCCACACCTGTAAGCCTCCTCTTTGGCACAACGAAGCTGCTTGAGTCTTGCTGTAAACCAGGGCTTGTTGTTGCGCGGGGGATGGAGCGACAGGCATCTTTTATTGTTGTGTAGCAGTGGTCCAGTGTGATTTTGTCTCTGTTGGGACAGGTAACATGCTGTCTGTATTTGGGCAGTTTGTGGGTGAGATTTGTTCTGTTAAAGTCCCCTAGAACAATGAGTGGAGAGTCGGGATGTTCTAGCTCCATGATAGTTATTAGTTTGGCCAGGAGCTGTAGTGCACTGGTGTCGGCGTTCGGTTTTAAATAGACAGCAACCAGGATGAAGCTTGAAAATTCTTGGGGAGAATAGAAAGGTTTGCAATTGATAAAAAGAGTCTTTAGGTCTGTGTTACATGTCCTCTGTAGCACTGTGACATCTGTGCACCAACCTTCATTTATGTAGAGACAGATTCCACCTCCTCTCATCTTCCCGGATAGCTCCATTACACGATCCGCTCTGTACACCTGGAATCATAATGATTAGCTTGGTCAACCACACACAGCTATTGCATACAGTACGTACATATACATACTGATGCGTTCAGACAGCTCCTGTCTCCCAGCATACATGAAAGGAAGCTGTAGGAGGCCTTTGGGAAACAGGAGTCTTGGTTGACCTCAGGTGAGATCATTGTGCTTTTGCTTTAAAGAAGCAAAAAACTGAATGACTTATTCAGTAAATACATTCATACAGTATGTAACCCAGCAGCACCCAGCTTTATACTGTGTTTCTTGGATGTAGGTACCGCATGAGGAAGCAGAACTGTCCCAACTGTAACTACTCCTGGTGTGAAAACATTAAAGACAGCGACATGAAGCTGCGCAAAGTAAGAAAATACTTTACAAAGTTAGTTCTCAGTGACATTTGAGTGCACATTTAATGTTGTAATTTAATGAAATGTGATGTCCTTCAGGTGGACTTCATCTGGATCAACAGAGACCAGAAGTCCTTTGAATGGTTTGTCAGTTTATTGACTAAGCTGGAGATGGACCAGGCTGATGAGGAGCCAGAAGGTGAGACGCAGAGACGCATGCACTGCAGACAAGAGAGGGGAACCAGGACAGAGGGTATATACAGTACAGTCTGTCTTAGGTCTGACATGAGTCTGATGTTTGTCAGGCCGGTTCCTGGAGATGCACATGTACATGACATCAGCTCTCAGTAAGAATGACATGAAGGCCATTGGCCTGCAGATGGCGCTGGACCTCCTGGCAAAGAAGGAGAAGAGAGACTCCATCACCGGCCTGAGAACCAGAACCCAGCCTGGACGGCCTGAGTGGGGAAAGGTCAGGGCAGGCACCACTAGTTTCTCTTTTATTTCTATTTAACATGAAATGTATTGAATTGTACACTCAGGGGTCAGTTTATTAAGAACACAGATTTTTTTTAATTGTCAATTCACTGTATGTGCAGGACCTACAAAGAAATCAAAATACTCTTTCTCTCTCACCTAATGTTGAATGCCCATACCATTTAAGAAACTAAAATAGAATAAAAGTAGAATAAACACAGAATAAACAGAATATGAAAACTGAATTCAAGTAATAAGGATAAACTAGATGGTACAACCTAATAGGCTATGAATGTGCAAACAGTGACAGCAGTGCAAATAACAAGAAGATAGTCAGGTGGTCAGCATCACCAGGGACGTTGGTGATGGGATGCATAATACCTTATGAAATGTTAGTTCAAACTAAGTGAGTCTGATCCAACAGCGCTGCAGTAAATCCTCCTCCATGAAGGTGATGATGTTCAGTCTGCGTTCAGCCTGTTTCACAGAGGTGCTGGTTCGCCTGTCGTCATGGTGGAGGCTGCAGGTTGTGCTGCTGCTGGACTAGGCTGACATTAGCTACGTGTACCCAGTAAACAACTGAGCATATTATTATTGAACAGGGGTGTGTGTACCAATATACTGTACAAAGAGTTGTAAGATGAACCTCAGTGATTATCCACCTCACTGTGTGTTTCCTGGTGCAGATGTTTTAAAAATACCTTAAATCCTTTAGTCAATCAATCTTTATTGTCATTGCTTACGCAACAAAAAGATGTGGCAACTCCTGTGACAGTGCAAAATATAATTGGATAGATTCACTAATTACCAGCTCCCACCCACCTGTCAGGTGTACTTTGGGTAACAGGCACCAGGCTTTGACAAGAATACAGTATGTGTAATAAAAAGATGACTTTTTGTTTCACCTATGAGGTATTTGTTCATCTTATGTTAAACTGTTCACCATGAGTCTGGTAACCTGAGTCTGTGCAGAACTCATTTAATGATCATTTACACTTATTACAGAGTTAATAATTATTAATCATTGCATTAAAATTAATAAGGTTGATCCACCAGTTATCTGACATCCTTTGGCTGATATGTTTTCCTGTGAATAGCTCACACATACACAGGCAGGAAGCGTTTATTACAGGTATAGTAATACAGCGTGTGTTGTGTGTCAGGTGTTTCAGAAAGTGTCTGAGGAGAAGAAAGGGAAGGTCCATGTATTTTACTGTGGCGCTCCAGCTCTGGCTAAAGTCATCAAAGCTGAGTGTGAACACTTTGGCTTCAAATTCTACAAGGAAAACTTCTGAGGCTGTTTCTTGTTGCTCAACACACAACCCCTGCCATGCTTTCCTGTGTGCACACACATGTCCCTCTTTGTTTGTGATGACACATTTTAGTTCAATGCCATCACTGTGAGGACATTTCTCTATTGTGAGCACGATGTGTGGTCTTACTCTCTTTATAGGGCTGTCTGTCGGGTAGGGTTGAGGTTAGAATCAGGTTAGGTGTTAGGTATTTAGTTCACATGACTGTTTCCCCTTCTTTTTGTATTTTGTGTTTTATGTGTTTTAACTTGTGATTTTTTTAAATGTGAAACTGTTTGTGCTGCCATCTTGACCAGACCTCAGAATCAGAATCAGCTTTATAGGCCAGGGGTGTCGGACACACGAGGAATTTGACTCTGGTACAGCGGTTCTCAATGTGAATGTACAATGTTATTCCATAAGGCAACGAGTAAACAAGATAAGGCTGAGAGAACAAGAAAAGAAAAACAATGTGCAGACAAGAAAAAGGAATGTGCATTAAGAAAATAAAAAGTACTTATAAATATAGAAATGTATATACACATAGTTCAGATGCAGTTTTCTGGATAGATATATTCAAAGGTATATTTACAGGTTTTGTATTGAGGGTTGTCATCCTGTTATACAGTTGTGGGTTAAGTGTTGATCAGAGTGACGGCACGGGGGAAGAAACTGTCCTTGTGCCTGGTTGTCTTGGTGTACAGTGACCTGTAGCGCCATCCAGAGGGGAGGAGTTCAAATTGTCTGTGTCCAGGGTGTGAGGGGTCTGCAGAAATCTTCTCTGCCCTCCTTTTGCCTTCCCTGGAAGAAAAGATTTTGTGTCTCAGTGGGACCTTCCTGGTTAAATAAAGGGATAAATAAAAATAAATGGTTACGTTAGGGAAAGGGTCTAGATGTGTTATGTCAGTCAGTCTCTAAGAAGTCAGCGTGTGTCTGTATATACTTGTGTTACTCATGTTGTAAGGACATAAATTTGTTTACATAGTCACACTGTGAGAAATTGATTTCTTTTTGGGGACAAAAACCAAGTGGCCAGAATGTAAACCATTAAAACTTAAGGAAATAAACTGGTCTCAGGTTAGGGTGAAGTTAGGTTAGGCTGGAGCAAAGGGAGGGTTAGCTTAATATCAAGGTTTGGATAAGGAAATGACTAAGTCATACTGACTGTGCGTGTGTGCATTTTGAATACCTGCCATTGCATTCCACCCTCTTCTGTTTAATCCAGACAGCTCTGTAATGATGTCTGTGTTGTGTTCCTGCCCTGTTTCAGGCTCTCAGATAGGAGGACACCCATTATGTTAGCTGTTCTTTATATATTCATAGTTGTGGTTTTACTGGATAGTCATCATTTATATATTGTACTTGTGTAGGTCTTGTGATCATTCAAATGTCTATACATATTATTCATCTAATAAGATCTTATTTTTCTCTTTTTATTAAAGAAAAATCACCTCTGATTTGATCTCATTATTGAACTGATTATCATAGCTGTCATTCTGTTGTGTTTTTGGAAAGCTGCAGGTGTCTCAGTCACTGTGGTTACTTTTAAGATTTAGATTACTGCAACAAAATGTAATCAACAAATGAAGCTAGCCGGCAGTATATGGAGTAGTTACATTTGCCCCAAACCTAACCCCAGCTTTGACATTACAATGATTATGCACGAATCTATTAATAATTTTAACCTGGTAATCAAATATCTGCAATAGGACATTCTGCATAATGACTTTACTTTTGGTACCTTAAGTATAGTGTTTTACTAATAGTATTTCTACACTGCAGTATTACTACTTTTACTTAACTAGAGGATTGGAATACTTATTCCACTACTGGTAGTAATAGTAGGCTGATACTGTTGTATGGGGGAATGGTTGAATGTTTTATTCTAACATAAATAACTAATCAATTTCATATTTACAGTTGTGTGCAAAGATACTAGTATATTGATGTTCCTTTTAAATGTTTTGAGAAAGTTAACGTTTTGTTTTATTATTAGCTAATGATTACTAGATATTATATTAGTGCATGCCTTTTAAATTGTTCGAAGAAGTTTGTTCTTGTTAATAATAAAGCCAGTTTTTATTTCGTCACTGAAACAAAAAAATTGACCCAGATTGATCGTCTATTTACAAGCTGTCTAGTCGATGTACGAGCTTTCGCTGGTGCAAATATAACCCCAGACGGATTCAACTATTTGAGTATCTCAAAACAATTACAAGATTTCTATAAGTACTAAGAATATATACAAACATTTTTATGTCGCTACTGATTTACATGTTTGAAATGCTCGTTTTAAGGAGTCCGTTCGATTAGTTGTAACCGGTGCTCTGTTGATAAGCCTTGTGTTGCTGGCTAGTAGCTAGGTACGCAGTAGCAGTTGGCGTCGGGCAGCTAGTAAAACATTGGACCAATGCCTTAGAAACAATTCCCTGTTATGGTACGAATGTTGTCCACTGATTTCAGTGGACCTTATTCATCAGAGTAGCGGCAAAACGCCAATGTTAGCCTTAGGCACCTTATCATTTGCAGCGGCCACATTTTTTCGTTTTTGGCCGAGCTAGCTAAGAAGCTAGCATAGTTCCAGATAGCCTGTTAGCTACGCCTATGATGGCACAGTCGGAGAGCGATAAGATAATGGAAGGTAGGCCATACATTTCGTTTTTTTATTATTTCTTTCTACATTAGTATCGTTGTATTATATATTTATACCGCATATACGCTTGCAAGTTAATGCCATTCTTATTAAAATCCAAACTTAAGTCATTTTCCAGATCGTTGGCTTGTTAGCCTGCTATATACTTAATGTTAGCTGCCTGAGAGCCGGTTAAAGGCGAGCTGACGTTACTAAATTAACTTTTTACGGGGTTAATATTTCTGTTAAATGTCTGTATTCATGTTGGCCTGCGTGCTAACTGTTGAGCTAAAACAGAGCAATAAATGATTTCATTATATTTGGTTGTAGAAATAAACAGGAAGCTGTTTATTCGTAATTGTTTTAACGTTACAATTTAGCAGGACGCTAGTTGTTTATTTTGGTGTGGCTTTCACCAAAAAATGTTCTAGTATGGCCAGATGCGAGCAGTAAGTGTAGTTGCAAAATCCAATTTTAGACTGAGACAGTGAGCTGGACGTCCGCTTGTATTAGCCCTTTCCTGTTTAATATCATAATAAATACATCTTTGGGTTTTGAACGGTTGCTGGGAGCTTACAGCTTAAACAGTAATCCAGTTAATCATAAACAATGATCAGCAGTTTACTTGTTAAAATCCTTGATAGCTGCTCATGTAGAATTTAGATCCACAGTGAATCACAGATTAGTCGATTGACAGTAAGTTAATCAGGTGTTTTGATAAATCATTATTTGAGTAATGAATTATTTGAATAATGTTTCAGCTTCTCAGACCTGAATATTTCTGGTTCATTTAGTCTTTATGACGATGAAGTGAATGTCTTTGTGTGTTACACTGTTGGTTAGACAAAACATATCCGAAGGCAACCTCTTTGACCGTGGGAAGCTGCGATGGACATCTGCTGTTGTTGTTTCCGGACGCTGTTCAGTCTAAAGCAATACTCAATCACAGACTTAACCTTTGTGTATCCCAGTGAAAGCTGACTGAACTCCACTGTCTTCCACATTCATACTGTAGCCAGAACCGCTCCCAGCGTGAGCGGCGCCGAGCTGCTCCTCTGGAGCAGTAGTGTTTGAGGACAGTCTGCTGAAAGATTGGGCTGTATTTATTTGTGCCGTCTCTCCATCTTCCCAGCCAGACTACAGATCAAAAATCCTGCTGTTCAAGCCTCTAACCTCCAGACATCTGCCATTGCAGAGATGGTAACATAACATGATATGGCAGAATCTTAAATCGGTGTGTGATGTACAGTGGGAAACTGTGGTGACCCCAGTAGTGTGCTGTACTGGAGGCTTGTAGTGAATGTTAGAGTTGCTGCAGTCAAGTAGTCAGACAGTTGACAGAAAATTAATTGCAGCTATACTGGTAATCATTTTTCAAGCAAACATGATTAGTCATGACTGATTAATCATTTGATGTAACAACTGAGAACAGTGTAGAATGCTCCTTGGTACCGTCCACTTGTAGCTTGGTTTTCTTCTCTGGCTGGTGTCATTGAGCAACACGACCTGTGCTCATGACACTGTGGCCAATTTCCTCTCATATGTATTCACACTGAGCAGAGGCTCTGCTCTCTCTCAGCCTAGACTCTGTATGGAGACTGACTGGCAGCAACGGGAGGGAGCAGCCAATCAGCCAAGGCCACCACTAGCAGCATGGCATCCCGTCAGAGGAACTCGGTCCGGATCCTGTCCAGCCGGGAGCGAGGTTCCCAGACGTTTGGCTCGCAACGGCTCCTGCAGCTGTTGGTGGAGGAGAAAGTGCGCTGGATGAAATGGCAGAGTCAGGTTAGGCTTTGACTCCTGGTGACATCTGTAGTGTTAGCTCGCATCATTACAGGATGAATTGAAATATGCAGCTTTCCCCACATGAGATAAAGAGATGTAGCCTTAGAAATCATCTGTTACACTTGGATCAGTGCTGCAATAGCATGTTCTACTATGTGGTGGAGTTAAATGTCTGTCCTCAACATGGCCCTTTGATGCCACTAATGACACTGTTGTGGTTTTGCTCCATCATTAATGACCTTAACAGGACATACGTGTACAAATAATCACAGTACAACAAACAAAAGGGGGACATGGATACACAGAAATGCAATATTGAATAAAATTAAGACAAGTGACAGGGGGAGGGAGGGGCTGTAATCAACTATTAGTCCTCTGATGATTTTCTCTGTCTTTTTGTCTGTAAAACATCAGAAAATGGTAAATGGACTGTATTTTATATAGCGCTTTCTCACAGTGTGTTAATGGTGAAAAGTATTTGTTGGACTTTTCCACAGAGGTCATGTTGTGGGGTTTGCACGACAGAGAAAAACATCACATCCTCACATTTCACAAGTTGGAAACAAAATATTGTTGATTGATTCTCCAATTGTCATATTATACACCATGAGAATGGACCTTGTGTTTACACTGCTGCTGCTGATAACATCACCACATGTAAACGTTTAGACCTGGACAGGATGGAACTGACCGAAATCCAAATGTATGTTTGTGCCTGTGACAGAAAGTGGAGCTGCCGGACAGCCCCCGCTCTACCTTCCTGCTGGCATTCAGCCCCGACAGGTGAGGCTTCACTCTGCTTCATGTGGACACATTCAGTCCCAGTGAAATTTTCACCGACTACCTGATGACCTTAAATGTACCCAACTCGAACTACTTCCAGGTTTATATGAATGACTCTGCTGTTTTCCTGGTTTCTCAGCTGAACTGATGTTTTTGTTTTATGTATTTTACACCAGTAACACTTTTATCTTATTTTACTTGATCTAAATTGATTTTTCTCTGGTCTATGCTGCTTATTGTTTTTGTTGTTAATGTGTTTGGTTACCTCCCTGTTTGAAATGTGTTACATTAATGAAGCTGTCTTGTTTTGCCTAAATCCGGTACAGGGAGAATTTCAGTTCTGGCTGTTTGTAGCACCCTGTAGCTGGCAAATGGAACATTTTAAATGATTTGTGGCTTTCCTCAGATTTGCACGCTGTGTGTGTTTACATAGAGCCTTGACTGTCTGGTATTTATCTGCTATAATGACAAAGGACTTGGGGTAATGTTTAGAAGGGTTCTGATAGTACTGCAAACTCTTTTGGCTTGTCATAGGACCCTTATGGCTTCCACACATGTCAACCACAACATCTACATAACAGAGGTGAAGACTGGAAAGTGCCTACATTCCTTAGTGGGCCACCGTAGAACCCCCTGGTGTGTGACCTTTCACCCCACAATACCCGGCCTGGTGGCCTCCGGGTGCCTTGATGGCGAGGTTCGCATCTGGGACCTGCATGTGAGTATCTCCCTCTGAAGTAGTGTAGCAGGTCCAGCCTTCCTCTGATGAGCCAGGTCCACTGGATGTGGCTCTGAACGTCTGGTTGCTGTGGCCTTTTCCACTGCTTTTATGGCCAGCGCGTCTCCCTGAAACTTGGTCTCCACTCTGCTGTGTTTAACCTCTGGGGTCACGTTTGGTTGGCTCAACTCTCTAAAGTCTGAAGCTGACACTTGAATGTATATAAGTGACTGTTTTTTGACAATTAGTATGTAATGACAAAAAATATTTGCTACTGACTTTGTCTTGATACAAACAGTACTTGTAATTAGAGAGAAACAGAGAAAACGGACGGGTGGAAGGATGGAAATCTCTGCTCAGACTCCTCTGCTTCTTTTATGTCCATAGTGTGTTTTTGTGCAGTGGAATTGAAGTAGTAGAAGTAGTTCTCATGGACACATTTTCTGTTTCTCTTGTCAGAAAACCGAACAAGCATGAAGTTTAGTTGTTGCTGAAACATGTTAACTGGATTGAAAAAACCTTAGAAAAAAATCAACTGGACTTAGATTTCTAGATCGAAGATGTTTCAGCTCTCATCCAAGAGGCTTCATCATGTTAACTGGATGTCAGCACTGATTGAAGCCCATAATCAATTCTTTTTGATTGGCTTCTTGCTGATTCATTTCCAGATAAATGCCAATGTTGCATAAAGGGCTTCAGAATTTACTCTGGGAACTTGAACATTCAACAAGTGAGCATCACTGTTGGTAAATATAAAATTGTATGAAGTGCACATTATCATCTAAACTGCAAACACATTTCCTGGTTTTAAAACTTTGGACTGAGGATTTATTTCCTGGAGTCAGTGCAAATCAACTAAAACATGATGCATGTTATTTTAAACCTATGTGTGCAGAGTAGTTGAGCAAGGAAAATAATGATGGCTCAGGTCAGTGTGCAGCATCTTGTGTCAGTCTGGCCCTGTTGTATGCAATCTCCAGATTCGCTAGGAGATCTGGTCAGTCAGCTGGCCATCCTGAACTATGACGTTCTGTAAATATTTATTCACCTCACCGTTAACATGACTGTCCTGACTCAGTGCAGCTCATATAGCAACACTGCTCTGGCTTAAAAAGAGGGTTATAATGTCTACAGTGTTAAAGAGCATGTGTGTTTTTCTGCAGGGTGGTAGCGAGAGCTGGTTTACAGAGAGCAATGTTGCCATTGCTTCCCTGGCCTTCCATCCGACCGCTCAGCTCCTCCTGATTGCCACCAACAATGAGCTCCACTTCTGGGACTGGAGCCGACCGGAGCCCTTCGCCGTGGTCAAGACGGGCAGTGACACGGAGAGAGTCCGGTGGGTTAAACAGAGCCGCTGTGACACATGGTAACTTGTGTAATGGTTAGCTTGTGAGCTTTAGAAAGAAAGACATCTGGCTGCCAGTTGCCCAGAGTCTTCCAGTGGTGTTCCTCCATGTCACTGTGGCGTAAAATGTACAGACCACGCTTCAGAGTGAGAATAACACAGATAAAGATTTTCATGTTTTGTTTACTTGTCACTCTTCAATAATATACAACTCAGAAGTCTTTTACTTTTTGAATGCGACTTTTTTTGAAATCATAGTTTTTTTTATTACAAAGCAAACCTTTGATAATAATGAAACTGCAACACATGCTCATCTTCAGGTGCACTCCTTGTTAATAGCAGCAGCTGAAAAGGAACAGCTGCTGCTTCAGATTCTGTAGACTGAAAGATGTTTATTCATAATGTTCAGAGGTCAAAGTGGAACATTTCAACAGAACCTTGTGATTCTTGTTGTCAGTTATTTGTACAAATGTGTCCATTTCATTTCAGGTTGGTGAGGTTTGACCCCCTCGGTCACAACCTCCTGACAGCGATAGTGAATCTGTCCAATCAGCAGGTGAGATCCCCGACTGGGTTTCTTTTGTTAACCTGGGTTGGTTGAGTTCTTGAGCTTTTTAACTGTAGCCTGACTAATATGTGATTTTTTTTTTTTAAGGACCGTAAGTAATAAAAACAGATTGTGATATATTGGCCAATAAAAATTTAAAAACTTTCACCATAAATATTTTGATATGCATCATATTTAATTTGTTCACATGAGAAATGTGTTACTTTTCTGACATTTCTTCTGATTTATTGGCCAACATACTGATGTATCTGTACTAAGTCGATGTCAGCTGATGGGTGGACTCTGCTCTCTGTCAGAATGAGGAGGACCCTGAGGTTCCTATGGACAGTGTTGAGATGCCTCACTTCCGTCAGCGCTCCTTCCTGCCTTCCCAACCTGTTCGCCGCACACCCATCCTTCACAACTTTCTCCACATCTTGTCATCTCGCTCCCCGGGGGCTCAAGTGGGAGGTGAGCAGCCACGTCCTCTTGGTGAAAATGGAAGCAATGTTGGAGAATCTCCCAGCATGCCTCTGGCCCAGTACCCCAGCTCTGAACGTGGGCCTCCTTTCCCTGGCTGCACACAGCACCTGGGCATGGTTTGCATGTGTAGTCGCTGCTCAGTCAGTCGCAGCCCCTCTCTGACAGCAGATGGTTCCTCGGTGACCCCCTCTAATCCCAGGGTGGTATCTGATGCTACCCAGCCCCCCACAGCTTCCACTTTTTCTTCAGCCCGTACAGAGCCTCGACAGCCCTCAGAACGACCTTCAGCCTTCACCTCAGTCTACTACAGTGCTGGCACTTCTCTGAACCCCAGTGCACCAAGCAGCATTGAGCAGCACTCCACCTCCAGGCCAGGATCTGACTGGACTCGCAACCTGTTAAGTATGAGGGAGAGTGGGGTTGGTCCAGGTATGCTGCCTCCTAGAACCTCATCCTCCTCCTCCATCAGCCTTCTTTCAGTGCTCCGTCAGCAGGATGGTTCCTCTCACTCGCCTGTCTACACCTCTGCCACTGAAGGGCGGGGTTTCCCCCAGCAAGGAGAGCCTGGGGCCCGAGATACTGCCAGTACAAGCAGCGGGCACCACCCATTCTGGGATGGCTCTCGCAGCAACACGGCCTCCTTCCGCAATGTGCTGCAGTGCAACCTGAGCCGCTACTTCATGGAGTTTGACCGCATGCAGGACTTGGAGCCGTCATTAGCAGGCAGCGTGGCAGATGGAAGCCAGGAGCAGAGCCAAGAGTTGCTGAATAATAACATGGACCCAGATAGACCTGGGCCTTCTTCATCTTCATCTTCATCCTCCTCCACCCCTACCACCATCCACTACCAGCATCCTCTCCCCCCTCCTTCTTGTTCGCTGCCGGGCCTGTCACAACCTGCTGACCTTCAACCATGACTCTCAGCGCTGGGAGCGCACCAACCAGGCCTCCTCCACCTCTGCCTCCACTCTGGAGCCCTCCTCTTCTTCCTCCTCCTTCCCTTCTGCTTCTTCCCCTTGGCAGCTTGAAGAGAGTAGGAGGACAATTGAAGTCCAGATTCAGGAGAGGAGGGCGCCTCCAGAACCCAGGGAGCAGCCACCTACCCGTGGAGGAGCAGGAGCAGTGGCCTTCTCTATACCCCCATCCTCCAGCCAGCCTGGGGAGCAGACTATGGGCTTGGTGTACAACCAGGACACAGTGCAGTGGGAGAGGATGTACCGGCAGGCTGCTGCCGGCCGGACGGCAGAGTCACCGGAGGCCTTAAGCCAAGAAATGCCTGTTGACCCCCCAGATGAGGACTCCCTGAGGAGGTATGGTGCCCCCGTGTTGTCACTTTAACTATCAGCTACAAACTCACTGTAATAACCTTGGGCTGAATACAGCTGTTGTCTCTGAAGTCTGAGATCCTAGGGACCACATCTGTGTGATAAGTAGATGTCTGTGCCAGACCTTGGGTTCATCTTAGTTTGGGGGCAGAGTCGACATCTGTGTTTCAGATCTGCCTTTAGCCACAGTTTAAGTGAAATATTATTATTTATTCAAATCATTTTATTCAGTAATGATCTGTAGTCATAACATATGTTTCTTTCAAACAGGCGACTGCTGGAGTCATCTCTGTTGTCTCGCTACGACGTGTCAGGATCAAGAGACCACCCCATTTACCCCGATCCAGCCAGGTACACTGACACGCCCCCGTTTTCCCCCGATCCATCCAGGTACACTGTTGCGCCCCCGTTTTCCCCAATCCAGCCAGGTACACCGACGCGCCCCCGTTTCCCCCGATCCAGCCAGGTACATTAG